CCTCATATGTGGGATCCGAACCGGGGCCCTCTGGCATCCCAAGCGAGTTCTTAACCATCGCGCCACTCGGCTGGCCCAAAAGTTCATTTTTATTATTCCGATTTCCCACTACACCAAGTTCTGTATGGGATCAGTATCCTTAGTGAGGTCATACAGCATTCCCGATTTGGGGCAGGTAGATCGTTTCTCTGTTCTTCTTCAATGAAAATATTTGCAAGAAGACTAGAAAATTACCAATGCATAATAGCTGGTGGCGTTGTTAGTGTAATTGTCCAGATGGCGGCTTTACTTGTGGTTTGTGAGGTGTGTGTGTATGGGGGAGATCTGAATTTTAATTCTGAATATATCTCTTCCTGTAAGAAACACAAGTCATTCTGGAATCAAAGATTACTGAGCAAAGTGCCATGGCTGCTGGGCAGATTGTGTACCACTCTTCCCGTCTGTTTTTGTTTGTTTGTTTTCTTCTCTTCATTCTTAGGAGCAGGGGACCCCAGGCTTGTGCTGCGTCAGAGTCGGAAGCCTCTCCCTTGTCCCACAGGAGAATGGCTTCGCAAGGCCTTCCTTCTGTCATGTCCCCTCATTCCTAAGCCTATTTCTGACCCCAGGTCTCTTCATTGCCCATCCCCAGAGATCTTACAGCTTCGGGGAAATAAAAAGCAGTTCTTCTAAAATGTGGTTGACATCTTCTTTTGTCTTTATTTAGGCTCATGAATCTTAAGGGCACATTTTCAAAACCAGCCAAGTGGCAGGCAAGACACTGGGGTAAAAGAATTTAAAAGCCCAACCAACCAACTAAACAAACAAAAACTCTGTGATAATTAGCAGTGTTGCTTTTGAGTTGAAAATTTTTTAAACTGAAAGTACGTCTCTAAAGCATCCCACTTGCCTTGTCTTTTCGTCCCCCCATCCTAAGAAATCTGGCTGACTCATTGACTCATTTCACAGTGCTTTTCGCTGGCGGTGCCAGGGTTGTGCTCACCATCTGAGTACAGTAGGAAAGGCACAATGGTTGCATTTCATTAATTAAAACGTCTATTGTGTGAGTGGGTGAGATCCAGAAATAGTGTGTGTTGGAATATGCAAGGGGTAGGCGACAGCATGAAGCTGATTTCGCTTTTTCATTTTTAACACAATCGCACAAAATAATAAAGGGCTTGCTCTACAGAAGAATTGTCCTTTGTCTTAGTCACTAGGGCCTTGTCAAGGCTCATCTTTTCACCTTCCAACCTGGCATGTGTCCCCAGGGGCCACCTGAGAGAGTGGCAAGCTCAATTTAGGCAATACCTTAAAAATGTCAACGTTTAGCATTAGGCGGCGCTGGCATTTAGAAGTATGCCTGACTACACTGCCCACTCCGCCCATCCTATTATTGTTATGTGGCTGGACGCCGAGAAGTCACACAAGCTGACGGATTTGTTTTATTAAAGTCTGGTTAAGAGTGGACGTGGGGCAGCAAGGCAGTTTGCTCATCACTTTGACAGCTTAGTAACTGAAGCTGAGGCCGGAACTACATCTGCAAAGATTGGCCTTTTAAGTGGAGAATACTTCCTCTTTTTTTCTCTTTTTCTTGCCTCATAGAAATTTGGCTGGGAATTTTGACTCGGGGAACTAAATTGTGTTTGCCACGCTGAAAGAAGACTTCAGTTGCTTTTTGGATTATTTTTTCTTTCCTGGTCGGAGCTTCTTTGCTTCTTCAAATCCCACGTATTCTCTGCCTCGTTAGTAATGTGGGAAACGTGAAGGTCATTGAATTTTGTTTTAAAAAATGCCTGCCTGTGGTGTTCATGTTCTAGATGGCTGGCCTTACGAAGTTTAGCTAATTACATCGTGTGTAAATGTGCCTTGTTTACCAGGTTTGCTCCTGAGGTGGGATTTTAAATAAGCAATCTCTGGGAGGCAAGAGTGTCTGTCATCCCCGTTCCCTCCCAGACCTGGGTGTGATTGGTCAGGTTTTAGACACAGTTGAGTGTGTGTGAATTGCAGCCATAGAAAGGCCCACGCTCGACCCAGGCCTCTGCGGTTCATGGCAAAGATGCCCTAAGGGGCATGTGTTATAGCCTCACTAAGGCTGGGGTGCAGACACACCCCATCTCCCCATCATCTCACCAGCTGCCCTGCTCTGTAGCATATGAGGGGGGTCTGGTGCACTGGCTTTCAGCGCTGTGCTTGGGAGGGATTGATTCGGCCCATCTGGCTACTTGGGGATCTTCCTCCCTCCTCATTCTGTTTGGTATGAAAAATGTCAAGCTGGCTGCGTAGATTTTGAACTCCCACAAAGACCACATGGTCTTTCTAATTCAATTTTCAACATTTTTATTGGTCAGCACTTACTGAGTTCATGAAGTCTCGTGACTCAAAGCCATCATTGCAGTTCCCTAAGTGGCACCGGGGGTGGGGGGACGCCCTGCAACATGAACACACCGTTGACATCACCCATCTGTCTCTTCTCAGGCTCCTACCTCTGTCTGGAATACCTTGATGTCTGGCCCATTTTTCAAGATCAACTCAAATGCCACCCACTTGATCAAGTCTCTGATCCCTTGGATGTGTTCCCTCTTTCCTTTGAATCTCTATTGTGCTCCCTCTGACCTTTGTTACTCATTCATTCACGCCTTCATTCATTAATCCATTCACACAAAGGTTTATTGATAGCCAGTATATGCCATACGGGGATATATCTATGAACTAAACAACAGTGATGTCTGCCTGCCCTTGTGGAGCTTACGTTCTGTTTGGGGGAGACAGCATACATAAACAGCACATGCGGTACATAAGTCAGGTAGTGTTTGGGAAGGGGATAAATGGGATGGAATGGGAAAGGGAGAAAGCAGAGCAAGATGGGGTTGACCAGCAGTACCAGGTGGGAGGAGAGGCCACGTGCAGTGCATGCTGGGTAGCTAGGTTTTAGTGACACCTACTGAAGCCGGCCTGGTGGTCATAGTAATTTGCACATGTGCCTTCTCCCTCTTTCCCAACCAAAAGGATGGGGATTGGACATCCTCACTGACTCATCTACGGCAGCACTTAGCACAAAATACCGTGTGTGTGGTTGGTGCTCTATAAATGATTGGTGACATGCACATGGCTGTGTGAAACTGAATTTAAGGACAAATAAGTAAACCCATTTCTTATTTTTACTTTTTCCCCGCCCTTCAAAAAAACCAAAAACATTATGATAAACCTATGCTCAAGAATGTGAGATTCCTTCCCTAGTTAGTCATTCTTCTCAAGACAGAATCTGTCACCGGAGCTCAGTGTGCACAGGGGTTTAGGATAGTGTCAGTCAATGCCTGAGCTACATTGTGCATGAAAGGGCGATTTTAAGGTATAAACTTCAGTTACATTTAGAAGAGCACAGAGGAGTGTAGTTTGTTTTCTGCTTTGGCCAGGTTTTGCTTGAAAAGGATCATTTTTTAAAGTAAATAACTTTTGTGAGCTGAATAGGGGAAAAACATTTCAAGAGTGTTTCCTTACAATTTGCCGTGAAAAACTCCAGGGTCTCTTGACAACCTTTGGATCTAATTAGCTTTCAGTTTACAAATATTTATCAAGTGAAATAACATTATTCCAGTGCAGAGCAGTATGTACCAAGGACTGTGAAGATACAGATGTCACGTGACCCGAGAGTGTGGTTGCTTCCATGCATTTCAGCTCTTACCTGAGGTTGAGAGATTATGGAAAATCAATGCAAAAGAACTTCCTGGGCTGCATGCAGCTGATCTAATTGGGTCTTGAATCAAAAAAAGATCTAAGGCTGCAGTTGATGCAATGCTTTCAGCTTCCCAATTTAAAATGTAAATGGCTTCTGCAGCTGATAAAATTCTCCCTTGAGAGCTAAAGAGCTCTGTGTAATTTAGAGCTCTGGGTTCCATACTGCATCAGTCGCACAAAGAGTGTGTCATAGGCTGATAGAATGTTAGTCAGGAGGCTGCTTGTGGATGACCTGGTGAATTAGCCAGTGGAGTCCTCCCATGGGCCCAAAATGGGGAGGAAAATGGAAGAAACAGCAGGTAAGACTCTGAGTTCCCCACCCCCGGTCCCATGCCTATTCTTCTATTTGCCTCTCAGCACACTTTGACCAGTTTTATTGTCTTCATGCTTCCATGGGAGAGTTTGTGTGAAGGAAGGGTTCTGAGGCTAGAAATACTTCGGAAGAAATAGTTTGATCTAGGTGAGCTCATTCATTTTCCATAAAGACACAGCAGCCGGGAGACAGTAAGACACACAACTCTAAGTGGCATGCGCTGTCGTTCTAATAGCAGTTAGAACTTCGCCTCTCTGGGGCTGTCTCCTTATGTGTCCACTTCCTGGGCTTAGTGTGAGGATCAAATGGGACAGACAGGGAAGCACAATGCATGGTGTACATTTAATGTGTTAGTTACATAGAAGGTATTATCATTTTCCCTTTTCTACCACTAGAGCCACTATGTAGGTTGTAAAACTGTGTTCCAGGAAGCCCCAGGGATCATTGCAGGAGGCTTAGGGACCTCCCTTCTTCAGACAAAGCACCTTCCCTTTTATCTGTTTTCTATGTTAGGCCTCTAGGCAAAGCTTCTTTTATCAATAGGGCTCTCTAACTTTAAAAGTGTTTGAAAACCACTGATCTAGAAGGATTTTTGCAAATGAGAAGAAATAGCTACATGAGTTTGAAATGCTGGTGGCCATCTGTGCCTATTGAGATGACTAGACATGCCATTCAGGGCAGAGATTGGCTGCATGCCTGGTTCAAGAAGATGACGGTCATAGATGTGAGCATTATGGACAGCTGGCTGGAACCAAAGAGACTCAGCACTGAGTGAGTGGCAAGACTGAAACTCACTGTGGAGACCTCGGAGCTGCACTGAGACTTGAGGTGTCGTTTTAGTCTGGTGTTCCCAAGGCTTTTCACTCTTTTAGTCTTTTTAACATTGATGTGTTAGTTTGATGTTAAGTACCAAGGTGAAGACTAAATTGTACCTGCCAGTTAATGTCCTTTTGTTTCCCATCTCCTTTTTTTTTAGTGTACTTACATTTCCATTGACCAAGTTCCCAGGACTCATGCTATTGTGATAAGCAGACCTGCCTGGCTTTGGGGGGCAGAAATGGGAGGCAACGAACATGGAGTGTGCATAGCCAACGAAGCCATCAACGCCAGAGAACCGGCCGCAGAGATGGAAGCCTTACTGGGGATGGACCTGGTCAGGTACTGCACAGGGATTCTTTGAAACAACTGCCCAGGACCAGGCGGGGGATGGGGACGGGATTATCTCCCTCCAAACCTCACATTTTGTAACCCAATCCTCCCTAAGAAGACAGGTGCCTTTTGACATAAACTTTGAGGTGAAGGAAAAAAGAATAGATTACAGTAGAATATTATTCAGCAATAAAAACGAATCAAGTACTGATATATGCTACAATATGATGAATCTCGGAAACATGCGACGTGAAAGGAGTCAAACCCCAAAGGTCACATGTTATATGATTCCATTGCTAGCAAATATAAGCATAAGCAAATTCACAGAAGCAGAAAGTAGATTAATCATTGCATGGGGAGCGGGACTGATTCCTAACGGATACAGGCTGCTTTTTGGGGGTGCTGGAAAGGTTCTAAAGTTGGATGGTGCTGATAGTCGCACAATTTTTGAATATACTAAAAACCACTAAACTGTATGTTTAACTAGGTGGGCTTACGGTATTTGAAATATATCTAAAATATATAAAAGAGAAAGGATACAGAAAAAATACAGAAAATATAAAGGAAAAAGGAACAGAGGTCACTCCCTGCTTTCCCCTCTACATCTCAGCCATCTTTTCTTCCTGTCACCATGTAACAGAAGGAAGTGACATGTAAGCTCGACAGGACAGGGACCTTTGTCTGCTGGTTTCCTACTGTGTCACAAGCACCAGGAACGGTGTGCCTGGCACGTAGTGGGTGATCAGTGACTGAGTTAGGAATGAATGACTGAAGTAGAGGGTGAGCTGGAACGAAAGAACAGTCTAGAATGGCTTTCATTATTCTGAGAAAGTGAAATGCAATGGAGTCATGGACATAGTTGAAAAAAGATTGGGCTGGGAGCTGGTGTCCTTGGCTTTCAGTGTGGAAATACCAAGTAACGTCATGTCTCTGGGCCACGGTTTCCTCAATTGTTCAATGTGAGGCTTTAGATTAGGTGACCTTAAAAGAGCCTCCCCAACCTAACATGCTGTAAAAAGCAAAGGCGGTTTCGACCCTTTGTAGGTTTTGTAGGGAGAAACTGCTTATTTACACAGAGACCTCTGTGGTGCATAGCTTCTGCCAACCAATGGATAGGCCTGTTAGTGACACCCTTTGGGTAGCGTGTTGCCTTTATGCGTTCCTCACCTTTCCTTATGGTTCCTGGTTCTTATAAACTAAGGAGAAGCAGGCTCCCTGAGCTGGAAAAGAGGAGGAAAAAGCCTCATATTTACAATTAGTTTTCTCTTGATTAACAGGATAAAATCTATAGAATAACAAGTTTTGAGCTTCTGTATTGACAGCTGTTCCAGTATTTTTACCTCCATACTTAATAGAAATCCTGAAAATGAAGAGCTAGTGAAAACCATGTCCCTTTTATAGCCTTGCATTTTGAATTATCATTATATTTGTGGCATGGGGTTTAGAGCACAGGCAAAGGTCACCATTTTACCAATTGATTTCTAAGGGACAATGGAAGAAAATCTTTTTCTCCTTCAAAGCCTCTGATGTGTCTTTTCAACATTATCAACCCATAAACAACAGGGCTTCCTGAATATCTGCTTTGTGCTTGACTCTGTCAAAGAGATTTTAGCCTGGTGGCAGAGAGAAGAAAAAAAATATGGAGCAATGCAAGCTTTTAAGACCAATTTAAGATGACAGTAGGAGAGATGTGTCTCAAGGCAATCTGAGATGTGTAGCCACATGAATGGCACAGAAGTCCAGGGTGTGGCCCTCAGCAAACACTGCTGGATGCTCAGATATTATCACAGACTGCACATATCTGGGGATACGTGCTTCTAGAATGAGGTACATTTGACCTGGATCTGTGAGGCTGCAGGATGTAGACAGATATTAGTCAAAAGGTTCACACACAGTTCTTCCCAAATCAAAGCAATACTTAATGCCTCCTCACTTCCTTCCTGCTTGTAGCCCTCTGGCTGAAGGCTGGGAATGTTTCAATGTCCAAAAGGTCATGAGCCCAGAGGGGCCTTGCAGACTCCTTGATTGTGGGGAAAATGAAAGACTATATTAATAGTTGACCCTTGAACAACACGACTTTGAACTGTGGGGGTTCACTTATATGTGGATTTTTTTTCAATAAATGCTGTCAATGCATTTTTTCTTTCTTATGATTTATTAATAATATTTTCTCTAGCTTACTTTATTGTAAGAATACAGTATGTAACACATATAACACACAAAATGTGTGTTAATTGACATGTTATTGGTAAGGCTTCCTTTCCGGTCAACAGTTGGCTACGAGTAGTTAAGTTTTCGGGGAGTCAGAAGGTATAGGTAGATTTTTGACTTCATGGAGGTTGGTGTCCCTAACCCCCCCACTCCTATGTTTAAGGGTCAACTCTGTATGCACCTGAATCCCTATAACAACACCAGGCCCATCCCCCTTAGGGCAGGGTAGTGACTATTTTCATGACTTTACCCAGGGCAGTGATGTATCCATGGTAAATCTAGTTACAACTTAGTTTACCTTAGTTGGGATATAAAGGGACAGGGATGTCCCTAGCCTATGGAGGCATAGCTATCAAAAGGATAAGCAAGGGCCGGCCGAGTGGCGCGATGGTTAGGAACTGGCTTGGGACGCCAGAGGGCCCCGGTTCGGATCCCACATATGAGGGCCAGTGACACTGCCCTCCACAGCTAAGATGCTGAACAACAGCTCAACCTGGAGCTGGGCTGCCGTCAGTCGCTGGCGACGGCGTAGGCTGCAGTCCCTGTGGCAGTGGGCTACCGTATGTAGCTAGCAGCCAGCGTGAGCGGCCAACAGCCGCAGTGAGCGGCCGTCCAGAAGCCGGAGACCGATGTGCCTCACCCGGGAAGAGCGCAATGATGGTGCCAACTTGGGGCAGTGAAGCAACGTCCTCCACAACTAGACTGAAGAACAAAATGACAGCAACTTGTCTGTTCCCCTTCCCCCAAATTCCCCAGCACTGTTCCCATCCCCCCAATTCCCCAATAAAAATCTTAAAAAAAAAAAGGATAAGCAAGCAGAATTCCTAAACACAGGGGAAGTGCAGACCTGACTCATCCTCCTTAGTGAGACGTGCTAGCATTTCAGGAATGGGCACAAGTGAGCTTGACATACCTCTGAAGGAGTCATGGGTCCCAAATAGGGGTTTGCCCAAGGGTTTCCTAAAAAAACAACCAACCAAGGATTTGAATTCAGGAACATCTAACTCCAAGACCTGAACAACCTGGACCAAGCACATACTTTGGAAGGACTTGAATTGCACTGAACGGTGATGTCAGAGTGAGACTCTAACCTTGGCCCAGTTAATTTCATCCTTTTATCTGCCCTGCTTACACAATGAGGTGAGGCAGCCAATGTGACATTAGGCACGGGGCCAGAAAGGCGCCGTTCTCATTTTGAATCTCATGCACCTGCCCTATGTAGGAGGCGAGACTGTTGTGAGAAGCTCTAAAATAGGCCCCTCGAATGTTGTGTGACTTGTGATCGTAGATCCTGTGGCCCTGGTACAGCTGCACCTGTCTCAGCTGGAGAGTGTGTAACCCTGATCTCATTCATGGCCCTGGGACTGTGGAGCAGGTTGTCCTATCCTCATTCCATGGCAGGGAGACTAGGTGGGGACGGTCAGGTGGGACAAAGGCGTATCTTTTCCCCACGGTCCTGACACGAGGGGTAAAACGAGAATCGTGTCTGTGGATAAGGGTTGAGGTCCCGCTGCAGACGCTGTGTGCAGAGGGCCCCAAAGTCAGTGTGGGAGCCAAAGTACCAGCACTGGGAGTCTCCGTGTGGAATGCAAACAGGCAGAACAGCGGGAGGGTCAGCGAGAAACTGCCAAAGAGAAGCCACAGCTTCCAAAGGCGGGGTTATTGCCCGGGCCGGGTGTTCACATGCTCCTAGCATGTTTGCATTGGCAAGTTGGGGTCCTGCAAAGGCCTGGGGACAGGGTTCTGCCTGGAATGCGTGCACGAGGCAATGTGACTAGGGGCCACCAAGGACCTATGGGAAGGAGGAAGTGGCCCTGGTGGGTGCACAGCTCTGGGTTATGAGGGGTGCGCATAGCATGTTTGTTTGTTGAGGGTCCTCAAGATAAGATGATGGTTGGCTTCTCTGACTTTTCTTTGGAGGAGATGGCACTGGGCAACAAAACGTCGACTTAATTCAATCTTCTAATGGGCTTATTCTTTGTCACTTTCCTAAGGCTTTAGGGTTCAGCGTCACAAATCATTGCCTTGGCACCAAGTCTTCCTAAATAAGCATAAATTGAGAAATACCAAGTGAATTGATATATAGTTATGTGATTATGAAAATAAGCCTGTTACGAGAATACATCTGTCGCGTGTAGTGGCATTCTCTTTTCTTCTCCCTGGCAGCACAGTGAAATAAACGGCCCTTCAGGAAGAATCAAGCTGAGTGAATTAGAATAACGATGGCTTCCCAAGTTGAGCATTCATCAGGAACTGGCCTATGCTAGCGTCGTAGCTGGCTCCGTTGCCTCTGTTCTCAAGCTCCATGTTCCTGCCACCAGAACTGTAATTTGAACAAAGAGATGAATAAATGGACATTTACTGAGTACATAGCATGTGCCATCCTCTTTCAAATCAGCCAGAGAGGGAAGTAGTGCTGGTTTCACTTTACAGATGAGAAAAGTCAAGGTTCAGAAAGGTTACATTACTTAAGATCATGCTGCCAGTGGGTAGCAGAACCAGAGCTAAATGCTAGGTCCTTTTATCTCTGAGTCACTTGTTTTTCTGCCACAGGGTGCTACTTCTCAAAACTTACTGATCACTTACTTACTTGGTCCTGGGCATTGGAGCTATGTATTTTCATGTTCATTATCTCGTAAAACCCACCCTCATAGTCACCCAATGATGTAGGTACGTATAGGTGACATAAAACTGAAGTTGCAATAAATTATGTAACTTGCCCAAGGTCACAAAGAGGGCAAGATCTATGCCTTCTTTAAGGGGTCTATTAATTGGAAGGACTAGGAGGAGACGGCTGTTTCACTTCAGGAGAAATAGGCGCTTCATGATAACTGAAGCTGTAAGCCACCCCAGTAAAGGCAAGCTGCTAGGGAGGAGGAGAAATACGTACAAAAGGATTGATTCTGTCTCCTAACTACCCACCTGCTCCTAGTGGGATATCTGTGTCAATTTTATGCCCCGAGGACAATGGCTGGCTACGAAACGCTTTTATTACCTACCAAAATACCTATTGTAGAGTAACAGAGAGCAAGGCAAGACTGGGCAGAGATTTCCTTTTTGCCCAGAGGCAGGAGGGAGGATAAGCCACCAAAAAGGGTCTTGCTAAGGGCTAGAGCTGAGCCGGCCCGCGATTTGGGAGACAGAGCTGGAAAGGAGGAGGAAAGATTGGTGGCTGAGGTTCCCTTCAAGAGGCAGAAGCCACTGAGATCCTGACCCTTCTGTCTGTATGGGCGGGGGATGCCCAAAGACAGAAAATGCCCCCCTGATTTTGAACCGAACGTGTGAGTTGTTTTCTGAGTGGAAGTGCTAATCTCTTTGGGTATTGGCCTGCGTGTTTAGCATGTTTAGACACTGGGATGCCTCATGTCTCGGCCTCGGCCCAGTCTTTTGTTACTATGGTAATAATCACATGATACAAAAGGTACTTCTGGTTTCCTTACTCTAGGCTTGGTTTGGAAAGAGGGTCAACAGCTAAAGAAGCCTTAGATGTCATCGTCGCCTTGTTGGAAGAACATGGACAGGGTGGAAATTATTACGAAGACGCAGACTCCTGTCAGAGCTTCCAAAGTGCTTATCTGATTGTGGATCGTGACGAGGCCTGGGTGCTGGAGACCGTGGGGAGGTACTGGGCTGCTGAGAAAACCACAGGTGAGTGGGTGTGGGGGGTGGAGAGTTTCATGGACAGGAAGGCCTGAGGTGGGTGCTGCTTGGGCGTCCAGGAGTCACGCTGCTGTCGCAGACCCTTTCTGTGCAGGATCTCCAGCTGTTGGCGTACCTCTCATTTCTGGGCTCCTGTTTCTGAGAGGAAGCCGGAGCCTCCTGAACCTGGAGCGAATGCCTGTCAACACTCAGGAAGCATGCTCCTAACGGTTCCTGTTTCTGTTGGCTTTCTGGGCAGGACCCAAGTCGGACCATGAGCAGCTTCATGATCCAAATTGTTACTTTATTAATTAGCCAAGGGAAGGGGGATTTTTCCATTCCATTCATAATAGGTCAATTCATTACTACAACAGGGAGCTGCCCCTGATCCCCCTCAGCCCTGTAGCTTTCTGTGCTTGGACCGTTCCTCTAAAAGAGGAATTTGGATGTGTGAGGACCATTGACTACCTCGGGCCGACAAGCTCGTGTCTCTGTGAGACAGTGTTCCTAGAACAGCAGAGGACTAGGGAATGTACTCGGAAGGGTTTAGTGACCAATACATTGCTGCTCTGCGTGCCAAGGGAATAAGTTCTGGGGAAGACAATGTTATGGGTGGGTGAGGCTGTCCCATATCACCGTCTCAGCACCCTCATATCCTGGACAGGACGTTATCCCAGAACGAGTTAAAGGATTTCCGAGAGGACTAAAGAGTTCTAAGGAAGATGTGGCAAGTGAAGCCCCTCACATCCCTTAGGACTGCATGACAAATACAGAGCGCCTCGATGCCATTCCCTGCTCCCGTGTCTGCAGCAGACATGGCTAGTAGATCACAGAAATCTTCTCTCATTGAGCCTGTATTTGGCCTATGTCTTTTTCTCAACTGAATTTACCAGGAAGTCTCTCCTAGTTCCTCAGAAATGATGTTAAGGATGAAACTTGTTTGCCATCTCTGTCTTAGGGCTGATAGGAACCAAATGTGACCCGAAGCAGAAGATCTATTTCAGTAACTGAGAAGTAAGGCTGTTGTTTTCTGTGGCCTGAGTCAGTCCAGTGATCAGGGTTGCTGTGGACGATGAGCACGTTGCATCGTATACAAGGCTGCCCCACAGAGGCAGTGAGATCTAGCCGTGGTTTTTTAACTAAGTTGTGCACAGGCTATGTCTGTCTGGAGGAGGGGGTGGTTTCTTCTCATTCTCACAAAGGTGCAGAATGACTAGTGGTGGCCTCGAAGCAATCTCAGAGAGCTTCTCCAGCCACGTATGCCTCACATATACCCACATATGCCAGCCCGCCCTACTTCCACAGTAGTTACAGAGCTAACACAGCCAGTGTGGCCCGCCAGGTCTCCTAGCCTCCTGTAATGAAGGAACTTAGAGCTCCTTTGTAAAAAAATCTCTACTGAGATGAAGTCTTACTATCGATGAAGTCTTACTAATGGTTCCGTCAAGATGGCTGGTGCTCCATGCTGAAAAGCAATCATATTGCTTTTAAGTAGAATGTAAAACGTTTTGATCTATAACTGCATTTCTAAAGCTTATTCTCCTTCAAAATATAGTTTAAAAAATCCATCTCATCAAAATGAATGTTGTCTTTCACTAAATATTAAAAAAAAAATCCCAGCCATTCTTGGTACTCATTGATTTCATGTTCTCCGATCTCAGCAGTAGTGTGATTGCAGGAGGATTTAATGAACTCTGGCCTTCAAATGCTAAAATTTTTGAACTCAAGTGTCTATTATAAATCACCCTCTAGGGAAAAAAAAAACTATGGAGTTATTCACAAGACTTAAAAAATATCTTAGTATGAACAATGTCAAAATCACATTTAGACCAAAGCTATTTTTTTTTTCAAGTTTTAAAAGTAGTTTTACATGTAGGGTCTCCTATAAAGAGATGAATGGAAAAGGACAAATGCCCATCAGCCAAGAATGCTGATTTTGGAAGTGGAGGTCAGTGAAGCAGAAGATGCTGAACAAACTCAGTCCATCCCTGACTCTGCCTCGAAGAGCTTGTTTTCAGGCAGTAATGGCTTTACTGCAACTTGGAGTTTGGGCTCCCAGTCTACTTCTTTCTCCAAGAATTTAGAAGATCAATGTGCTCCCTGAAAGCAGCAACTATGAATGGCTGTTTTGAGTTACGAGTGATAACTTTGTACTGTTTTGGACATCTTGAAACTTGAGAGCCAGGGTATCTTCTGAGTATTTGTAGCTAAGGCTTTGGAGAAGGCACAGCAACCCTGCCAACAGGTAGGAGAACTGCTGCCCTATCAAGGTGGAGTGTACTCAGAAACCAGGCATTTCTGATGCTAGACTTATTTAGCTACACTTATTATATTTTTATGAGAAAAATATTCCAATATATGTTTTTTACATGCCCATATGACACACACCTATTCCCAGGTACAGTCTGTTATTTAAAAACCATTCATTATCATTGCCACTATGTTTTTTTAGATGTGGGGACTTGAAAAAAAAAACCAGTTGAATGAAGAAGAAATCCCCAAGGATTTGTCTCTTCAATAATGGAATTCAATTCATCCCTAGAGTTAAAGTTAAGTTGCAGGGGAGAGATTCCCTGCAAATTTCCATTTCTTGATTAAGACTTTATATTTCCAACTAACTGGGCTTTGCACTGTCCGCAGAGGGAGTCAAGTGCATTTGCAATCAGCTTTCACTCACCACCAAGATTGATGCAGAACATCCTGAACTCAGGAGTTATGCTCAGAGTCAAGGTTGGTGGTCGGGAGAAGACGAGTTCAATTTTTCTGAAGTTTTTTCTCCAGCTGATGAGCACCTAAACTGCTGTGCAGGCAAAGACAGCTTAGAAAAGCAAGAAGGTGAGTGAGTACATCCGTTCCGATTCTCCCTCCTGATACCCTTTGTCTTACAGCTGTTTTAGAGAACTTGTCTGAACTTAGGAAGGTGATCAATGAGGAGGAATAGAGAATAGACCTTGTATTTAAAGACCAAATTATGCTAAAGTTCCTGATGTGCAGGCAAAACAAGATCTTGCATTTATTTTTGCAGGATGCTTCCACATTCATGGAAGTTTGCTGCTCCCATTTTCCCTGTAAACACTAATGTCCTTGTACTTGTCTTTTGATACTTTTGCAGCCTTCCTTATATCTCGTATATTTGACTAGCTTCTGCCTCTGTTTTCTTCTCTCATTAACCTGATGGGTCTTTTACTCATCTTAGGATCCCCTTGTGATGACTATTATAGTCCTTTGTTCTATGAACATTTATTAAGTTAACTTGAGAATTCTCTACATGAGCCCTCTGTTTCTTACTCAGTTATTGACTTACTCAGAACCTATATTTAGGTAAATATGGTGACTGGATAGCATGTCACTTTTGTGCCTAAGTGGAAACCCTTCCAAATAAACCACAATGGCCACATTTTGTGTTTGCTAGCAATACATGTGTTTTGTAAGTCAAACCTTTGATCATTCAGAAACAGGGGTGAGAAAGATATGACCTGTCATCAGCTGTCTGTTTTGTAACTAAAATATTAATGGAACACAGCCACACCCACTTACATGCTATATGGCTACAGTGGCAAAGGTGAGCTGTTGCGACACGTAAGTTATGATAGGGATTGTGTGACCCATAAGCCTAAAATATTTGCTATTTGGTTCTTTAAAAAAAGTTTGCTGATGGTTAATCTAGAAGAACATTTTAAAACTTTTGGTATAGAGCTTAGTTAATATATTCTGGGTAAGAATGTAAGAAAGTGTCCATTTTCAAAATGAGAACTCTAAAAAACTCAAAGTTTTAATAAAAAAAACAAAACAACTAACTTGATGAAAGTATACAATACCATGTATAAAGTAGTCCTGCCAAAACATCAAATCTGAATCTGATGAAGCCTCCAGATCTAGCTACTAGTTTGCAGGAAATGCAAAGAGTGTGTGTGGGGGGGGACATATTAAATGACACCATGGGGGTGCCATCTGCAAAGTCCAGATTGTGAGAAACTGCACAAGAGAAATGGCCCAACCAATAAATAAAATGCAAGGGGAAAAATGAGAAGCAGAAATTAAGGGAGATTTAAGGGACATTATCAATTCTGATTCTAATCAATGAACTAGTTTTTGAGACAATGAGGAAATGTGAACACTGGGTAGTTGAAGAAATCAAGAACTTATTCTTAATATTTTTAGGAGTGTCATGTTGTAAACAGAGATTTATAAAGAGGATATGAGTTGTGCTAGTGAACTTTAAGGCATCGTCTCACTAAGTGATGCTTTGATTCCATCTTGGTGAACATAGACGGAAAGAATAGTGTTTTCATGAATTATAACCAGTGGGAGAAAATGTGCAGCTGAGATCCTGTGTAGTCGAGGATTTGTGTATCTGTTTATCTGAAGTCAGACCCAGTAGTTGTAATGACTCTGACTATTCTAAATACCTCTCTGTGTGTATATTTTTTTCACCGCAGAGAGGTCATTTTTCAAATATAGTATTGACTCTAACCAGCAAAAATGTATGAGAGAATCGTGCATAGATTGCATATACCTTCTTATGGATGTCATTCTATCATGTTAATGCACTTGTTGAAGAATTGCTAAGTGCTGTATCCAAAGACCCTGAAATAAGGTGGCTTAAAGAAAACAGAAGTATATATCTCTCCCATGTTATAGTCCAGACATAATGACAGCCCAGGGCTGATATTTTACTGTGCCTCAACGTATTACTCTAACTTTCACTTGGGGTCCACTTGCTGGCATCTCCCAGCCAGCAGGAAGGGAGAAAAGTGAAGAGCAAGTGTTTCTTTTGATGGATGTGACAAGAAGTTAAACACATCTCCCATTGGTTAGGATTTATCACATGGCGACATATAGCCACAAGGGAAGCTGGGAATATAGTCTATACTTGGGCAGTTATGTGTCCACCCATAATTTCAGGAGTTATATTACTAAAAAGAGAAAAAAGTAAATGAATTTTGGTTAGCAGCCTGCCACAGTTAATTCTTTTCTTCTTCCCCCCCCTCTCTCTCCTAACAGAAAGCATCACTGTGCAGACTATGATTGACATCTTACGGGACAAAGCCAGTGGAGTCTGTATAGACTCTGAGTCTTTCCTCACCACAGCCAGTGTAGTGTCTGTCCTGCCTCAGAATAGAAGCTCACCATGCATTCACTACTTCACGGGGACCCCAGATCCTTCCAGGTTCGTCTGAGACACAGTCACGTAAGCAGAAAGTGTGTACTACCTTGAGAGCTCATCCAACAAGATATACTAAGTTCCTGTACCTCCTGTTGTATAGCTGAGTCCCATTACTTAGTTGGCCTCACCTTGGCTAGTGCAGCACAAAGAGCTTTGACTAAGGGAAGCTCTTGGCTTTAGTCAGATAGCATTCATCAGAATCATGGAATCACATTGTTTGAAATTCAGCAAATACTTATTGAGTATATATCATGGGCCAGGCATTATGCTGTGTGTGTAAGATAAAGAAGACACAGTGAGACAGAGAGATTGGACAGAGGAATGCCCAAGATTTATCAAAACAACTAACTCCTATGAGTTAGAGGACAAAATGGCCCAGAGGCAAAGCAGACTGAAGCAACTTCAAGTGCACTGGCCAATTCTTTCAGACGCTGTATTTTAAGGGATAGCTTTCTGCCCAGCACCTCAGCAAAGAGATAGCATCGTTGCACAGTGGTTAACAGCATAGTTTCTGGAATAAACTGCCAGGCTTTTGAATTCCACCTCTGTCGCTTAGTAGCTGGATAAGTTGCTTCACATCTCTAAGCTTCCGTTTCTATGCCGTATAATGGGGATAATACTAGTCCCTACCTTTATGTGATGGTGGGGCCTCATGTTTTTAAACTACTGCCAATATCAATAGATCCTTCTAGCAGGGCCTGAGTATTAAATTTAGTATAAGCCCTTCTTAGTTTTTCATCCACTCATTTATTCACGCAATAAGTGCTTATGAAGCACCTACTGTGTACCAAATATTGTGCTTGTTGGGTACTAGGGACCAAGTGTATACAACGTAAGAAGTGGCACAAAGGAAATGATGATGAAGAGAAAAATGTCATAGAGGAAGGGAGTCTTGAGCACTGGGTATTTTGGGAAAAGTTAGAGTTTCTGAGGCACAAAAAGCAGGAATGGCATTCTGGGTAGAAGGAACAGCATGTGCAAAAACACAGACATGAGAGTTTATCTCCCAGTGCTGGTGACTCAACTGCCGCTTGTGGAGCCCTCGCTGCTGGCCTACAGGGGTACATGTGGGCATTTGAAACATCCGGAATGCTCTGCCAAGGTATTTGGACATTGTTCTTTAGGGAACAGGAGCTTTCGAAGGAGTGGGTTGAATTGAAGAATGGCTGTACCAACCCCCCTTTTCCATGATGTCCCAGATGCCTGCTCTTAACAGTGCTTAGAAGACAGGCCTTTGTGATGCCAGGACACTAATATAAAGGAATTCTGTTTCCTAGGCTGAAATGTGCAGCCTAATGCAATTAGAGGAAAGGGTTGGGAAATAGCCTTCTACTAGTGAAAATGGAAAATTTCCAGTAATTTAAAAAGCAAATTATTCATGGTTAATTTAATTGAAAAGACCTTAACGAAGATTAAGAGCTTTCCGGAAGTCATTCGTTTTTATCTTCTATAGTTAAATGAGCTGCATTTCCTACTGTGACTGAAGAGCTGTCATAGACTTCCCCCCCACCTCCCCCTGCCCCCCCATTCAACATTTCAATACGTCTCTGTAATTGGGCATGTTCAACATTTTGTGTTTTGTCAGCAGGAAGCCAAATTACCTACTCTTGGGTTTTTAGGTAGTAGAGCTAGGGACATTTTTAGCTGTCCCTGAATGCTAAAAACATTGGAGTGGTATCTTCAGGAAATAGTTTGAGAGCAGCAGGTTTGCAAAAGAGTTTGATCAAAGAGCAGGACTGTATTATTTTCCCCTCCCAGTTAATGTGAGAAGCCAAAGGGTATGATGCTGCCCTGTCTGCCACTGCGCTTCTCTGCCCTTTGCGCACTGTGTTAATTATCGGTTGGTTTTTTTTAAACAAATTGTTCTCGCATTCTCTTTTTCTCTCCCCCCTCTCCTCCCTTTTCTCCTTCCCTCCTAGCACGTAACACCAGCTACTATGTAAGTTTGTGAGTTGGAAGGAGGTGCAAAATTTGGAGTTTGAGAGATATAGGGAGATGCAAGAGGCCTTTAATTTTATTGAGAAGCACAGTCCATCAGATTAATACTCTGTTGAGTCAGCTGGTGACTCCGTCATCCATACAGGGACACTGGTTGGCTTTAGTGCACTGGATCTGACCTTCAGAAACCGTTTCCCAGTTGGAAGCCCAGTTGGAAGCCCGTACTTGTTAACGCTTAGCTGATGTGAAGCACAGGGGAGGGGAAGAGCAGAAAGGCAACTTAGTATTTTGAAAGAGTGTAAAAACCAGAGACCTGCAGTGCGCTAGCGCTAGTGAGAGCTGAGTGTGTGTTCAGTGATGTCACACTGGTAGCTTGAAGTGGGCCACCGTGGGCGTATTTACACCACAGAAATTGGCAGACACCATGAACCAGGCCTTGCTTATTTATGTATGTATGTATGTATTTATTTATTTTCAGAATAAATAGTTGTCAACCCAGCACACTACCGAGGGCCCTCCCATCTGGGAAAACACACAAATACTCAACATACAAGACGGATAAACCAAGACGGGGAGAGAATTAAAAATGTTTCCATTGTAAATGTTAGGTGGCCATTTCCCAACCCATTTCTCTAATTGTAGTAGGCCGTGCACTTCAGCTTAGGGAAAGGAGAATAGGGAGGAAGTTCTAGGAAAATAGGGTGTTTGATGTACTTTAACTGGGGACAAGGAGCGGGGGAGGTGCAAGGGGCATGGTGTGTGTGTGTGTGTGTGTG